GAATCTTCCTGTAAGTACCCCTGTGGTCTAGCCTTATGCTGATCAGCCAGGTTCCCCTGTCTAGCAGCAGGTAGCTCTGAATACAACCTGGTTTAATATTTTGTCAAATTGTGTAGTACTCCTGCCTCTTTCTTATATTACATGAAATATTTTATTGTGCCATAGCACCAGGCCTCACACTGTGATTACTAATCTTCTATTTCTTTATGCTTAGTACTTAGGTTATTTAACTTTTTATTTCATTAAATTATAAATAAGTATAAATAAATTTGTATATAAAACATAATTAAAAGATATATATTTTAGCAGAAATAACTTTTAAAAAATGATGCCATTGCCAAACAAATTTATTAATACTATAGGTAGCAGTTCTTAAGTATTAATTCATTCTATTTGGATATTTTTATTCCGATTCCTGAGGTAAGATAAATTGTTAAAAACATGGCATGGAGATTTCATAAAGAAGAAAATAAAGTTGAAAGTTTATGATGGTATAGTTTTAAAAAAGAGAACGCAATTTTTTAGCATTTATAATTTAAAGAATATTAATCCTTCAATAACAGACAATATCATTAAGGTTTTATTCCGTTTTATTTTTTTATTGTATTTGTTGCATGTTCTGAAAACAATCTAGAAATAATTTCTAAAAACTAATTTTAAATAATTTCTTGATTTTTCAAGCATGGTTAGTTTTTTTTTTTAACATAACATTTTTAAAAAATTTATTCTAGTTGTTTGAATATCTCACTAAATACTTCGTCATTCTAACTCTCTAATCATTAATATATTCTTTCTTTACCTACCCTTATATTCTAAGTTTTGTTATCTATGTTGCTCCTATATTCTTGTTGGTATTTTTTGTGGAGAGGTAGGAAATATACAATATATTTTATTTTTCATAGAATTAATAGTATCTGATAACATTTATTTAAAGGACAAAGATGGTAAGGTATATATGTTACTAAGTTGATCTATGATAGTGTAACTGCATACAAATATCATTTCTTTTATATTGTTCTTTTACTCTCTGTAATTCAAGCTGGTTTTGCCTGGATAACAGCATTAAAATTCACTTGTATCCCTCACCTCCCATCCCATACCCTCTGTATGCCTGCTCTTTTAATTATTAAGCCTTATGACATAAGATTAACCTGTATCAGGTCTTATAATCACGAGGACAATAGGTTTCAGCTGGACTTTAGACTAAGGCTAACATCTTGGCTTTAGATGGGTTACAGCCCCAGGTACATTGAGGCAGAACAACCCCACTGACCAAAGGATCAGACTGGATGGCTCCATGGCTGGTGGATGATTCCAGAACAGGACTCAATGATCAATTACCTCAGCCCTCTCCAGTCATCCAATCAGTAGCACCCATGATCCCAGCTCCCTTAGTTTCCATGACTACTGATTTTACCCCGTATAATCTTTACTCCCAAGACACCCTGGAAGCCAGGCCTTTGAGCCATAGCCCAACAATGTCTCCAGGACTTGCGACTCTAATAAACCTTACTTTCTTTGCTGCAAAATCTGCATGTATCTCTTCTTAGGCTTAGACATATGCAGGCTAAAGAGAAATCCCTTTTTTTGTCCTAATTACAATATGAGTAGGATATACTAAGGAAAACTATAACAAAAACAACAACAGCAAATACAATATGACAGCTTTACATAGATAAATAAAACTGATGATCTAGTAAATACTGTAATGGGGAAATAAACTGGACCACTACGAGATAAAGCATATCAATTCCACAAACACTACTGAAGATGAGTTAATAGAACAAGATTTCGGTGATCCACATGTACTTTACTCTCAACCACTACTTTCCATCTTGCAATGCTTATCTGCACAGATGATTGTCAGCTTTCCAAAACAAATTATTCAGACTTTTTTTTTTTTTTTTCAGATTGAAGAATCAAAAGCTACAAAGCCAGATAGCATGCACTTGAAGACAAGGGTCCTGAAACTATTTTTACAAATTTACATAATGAAATTTTTATAACAATTAATAATGCCTACCAAGATGCATAATTCCACAAAGTATTCAATACAGGCTTTTGACTGATTGATAAAAGATGTTTGGGGATCTGCTCTTTCTGTCTACATCTCCAAACTATCTTCATTTTAGTTGAAAGCACCAATAGTTTTAGAGATTTCCTTAGGTGATTCTTCACCAGACATGGTTTTTGTACATGACCCTGATGAAATTACATAAATTTTCTCATTTTTTTTATTTTATATTTTAAAAGAGAAATAGCTTGCCAGGAAGTCCGAACTCATAGATGAGCCATTTGAGATTCTTCAACTTTGTCCATAACGTTCATTAAATTTCCTATGATTTCACATTTCTTAGTAAGACAAAGGAAATAAAATTTAAAAAGAAAAAATAAAATAATTCAATAAAACAATTTATAAATGAGAATAGTCTGATATAAGATTATACCATGCAAAATTAGCATTTTTTTCTCTAGAAAACCAATGAAAAATCATAATTGGTTTTAATTAGTAAAAATTCTGTTGAACAAAGACTTTGTGTAGTGTAAGATTATTTATCTAAATCTCATATGTATTCTCATTGGGGTTTTAAAGTATTTTATATAACTTACAACAGAGGAAATTCTTTCTCTGAAGATTTATTTCAAAATCTTATAAAATGTCACTCATTGAATTGTCTTAAAGTAAATGTTATAATTTATTTAACTTAATTTATTTTGACACATATATTTTATCCTTGAGTGTTTGAATATTTCATTTCCTGTGTTTCCTAGTATAAAAGCAAATTGAAATTTATGATTTTATAATTAAAAATTATGATTTTAAAGTAAAAAAACACAGACGTTACTCTTTTTTCTCAGTAGGTAGATATTTAACATGTATGGAAACACAACGTTTTGGTTTCTTATAAACAAATAAAAAAATTTAATGAAAATCTTCACAAAATCAACAATACCTTCTTTTTACATATTACTTAATGCTTCAGACGACTGGTTCCTTCTCTTGAAATTGTATCATAGCATTTATTAAAAAAATGTTTTCATATGAACTATGGGCTAATTTTGATAGCAAAAATTATTTTAAAACTTTTTATAATTTAATATGAAATGATTTTAGTATGTCAATATAAGAATAGATTGTCATAAAATTTGGGGAATCTTGTGTCACCTTCTTTTTGTTGTTCTCACTTTTATCATTTATTTATCATTGCAGATTAAAAAAATCAACAGAAACTTTCCTGTAAATCAGCAGGTAAGATGGAGAAATACTTGGAAAGTCAAATTACATATTTCTTTCATTTTATTTATTATAGGAGATAATCTTGATTGCAATTTATTTTTATGTGAAAATAATTGGTACTATCATTTGACATCTTCAGAAAAATACATAGTTTATTAGATTTCTTTCACATTATTTAATATATCTGTTTAGTCGTATTAAAAGCAGTTTAAAAATCATTTATCTAAGTAAATTAAATAAAAACTTTCTTTTTACAAATAATTATATTTATTTAAATACAATATTAAAGAACTTGGAGACCTATTTACATGAGATTTTTACTGTATCAACATTCGGGAAAACTTAATTGATCTAAAAGTTAAATGGGATTTTCTGACTTTTTCAAATTTTGCTGACTTTTCAAATAAATCTAAATTAATAGAATGAAAATAATGCCTGATTAACCAAGCAAAGAATTTAGTTGACTTATAAGACTAATAATTTTTGATATAATAAAATAATAAATTATAGAAAATAAATGATTCCTCTGATAACTTCATTATGCTAAAATCAACTTTTGTATTACTATTATAAACATAATGACAACATTAATTTGAGTAAGAAAAGTAAATGAAAGCTCAGTGTTTTGACTCATGCACATCGTTCATATATCAGGTTTGTGTGATAGTGGAACTGCAGTGGCAAGGCACAAACTTCTTACTTTTGACATCAACCTCAGTTTGAAACTACTGATCAAAATTTAAATATCTAAGTTATCTATTTATAAGTGGTACACCAATCACAAATTAATTTCAATGGTAAAAAATTTAAAAATAGCTTTCAGCTTATAAAAACTAGGTTACTTTTTAATCTATACCTCAGTTCCTTCATCTGTTTACATAAGTGGAACTTTCTTATAAGTTCATTTTTGTGGATTAAATGATAACACATGTAAAGTTCTTAATTTATGCCATTATTATCATCAATGTATTAAAGTTTTAAACTTGTTCTTTAGAATATAAAATGTATTTTCTTGTATAAATTACATCATTGATTATGCCACTAGACTTGACCTGCCCACAAGCTATATGTTACTGAAATATTAGTGAGAACAGCTTTGGAGAACTCAGTGTGTCTTCAATTCTCTGAACTATGTATTTCCAGCCTTGGGCAACCCCTGCCTCCTAAATTTAGGTCCTCTTGCCTGAGCCAAGTTGATATTTGAGATAGATGCTGAGGTAGACGAGATGTATGTGTCTTGTCGCATTCCTCAACAAGCTTTGGTTGTATTTAAGACCCTTGTTTACAATGCTAAGATCAGAGCTCTGTGTTGATACCTGGGAAATTCCTTTTGCAGCTCTCATCCCATTCCAAGTGATTCTGATGCTGGTGGTGCAGAGGTGACATCTTGGAAAAATGTTTAACTATTTCATAGGGTTTCAGTAGAGGAAAACGTTTATTAACAAGAAATTATTCAAATAGAAAGCAGCATCAGCCATGAGGAAAGGTTGTAGTGTCTATCAGTAGTCATGTTTGTTTTATGTCAAATATATAAAAATGTAGATCTACTCATTTGGGGAATTCTTGCCAAAAACATAAATGATAAATATCCTTGAAGATTGACTCTAATATCTGTGTTATCACACTCCCTTGCCCTTTCTAATATCAACATGTGAAGAATTAATAGTGTAACATATTATTGTGAATGTTTCATGATCTTGATAACCTCACAGCTATTCTTTTTTTATACAAATGTAATAACTTTACTTTTTAAAATTTATTTTGTTAAGTATTGTTAGTATACAGACTTATATTGGTTATATTAGTTTTAGGTGTATAATATAGTGATTCAACATTTTTATATCTTACGATATAAATTAATACTAATAATCTTCTCACTATGCACTTATCACAGTATTATTGACTATATTTTCTCTACCCTTTTTCCTCACTTCACTCCCTAACTTCTGATAACAAACCTTTTGGTATCTATTTCTATGAGTCTGTTTTTGTTTTATTTTGTTTTGTTTTGTTTTCAAATTCTACATATATGTGAAACCATATGATATTTCATTCTCTGCCTGACTTCACTTAGCATAAAACCCTGTTGGTCTGCCCATGTTGTTGCAAATGGCAAGATTTTATTTATTTTTTATTGCTGCACAATATTCTATTATATATATATATATATACACACATATATATACA